TTTTCACCCATCTTCTTTCTCCTCTTTCTTCCTCTTTCCATGGCCAAACCTGATGAGGGAAAGGAAGTAGATGTGCCTGCTGGTTTAAGAGATGGCATCCTCCCTTGCGTGCCAAAATCCCTTGGTTTCTTGGTTTCTTGCATTTGGAACTTGTTCCCAGCAGCCACCCACGTGTAGATTTCCAACGTTCCTTGGTGGTTTTGTCTCCAAACTGAGTGTCAGGGCTTGAGCTTGTTTTTATCTTAATTATGTTGGCTTTTTGGGACAACCACAAGATCCATCCAACGGATGGGATAGCTTTGTCAAGTGTTGGGCTTATTTTGGCTAGTTTGTTCTAATTGGGTTAATGGGCTTATTTTGACTAGTTTATTCTAATTGGGTCAATGGGCTATTTTGACTAGTTTATTCTAATTGGGTTAATGGGTTATTTTTGGTTGAGGCAATGGTCTATCTTCTTTCTTGTGCTTACCCATGTTTGGGCATAAGAAAATGGGCTTGAGTCTCGAGGCCCCCAAGCGACCCGAGACTTCCATTTCTTGGCCCATCGATGGGCCCCATGATAACTTATTACCATCCACACCACAACCCACTCAAGCAAGCCCCGGGCATTTGAGTGGCTTGGGCCCACTTAAGCTTGTAGCGCGACGTGTTGCTTATTTGCTTGGCGTGGCCCCCAAGCGACCCGAGACTTCCATTTCTTGGCCCATCGATGGGCCCCATGATAACTTATTACCATCCACACCACAACCCACTCAAGCAAGCCCCGGGCATGCCCCCTTGATTATTGGGGCCATGAATGTGTATTGAAATGGTCCGAATAATCAATTTCCAGCCCAAAATAAATTGCAGTCGCATGGCATGGCATGGGTTTAGGAACAACTTAAGGATGACTAGTTAAGTGTCTCTGAAATTACAGCCAAGTTTTTTTTCCGGGAAGGTTGGAGGGGTCACGATGGTTCCGCTTAAAATCCAATCCTTCTTAAACACCGAGGGTGTTGCCTTGAAGAACTTTCCTAGACACTGTAATTTTGGAGGTCACTCACTAGAATTACCAAGAGTTGACCTATTTTGTGGCATGACCTAGAAGAGAATGCTTGGTGGATTAGCTTAGCTTGCATGACTTGTTTGCTTGAGTGACTAGAGAGGCTTGATTTTGCATGATTGTGTGCTTGGATGCTTGGCATTGGCGGGG